GGGCCGGGCCGGGCCGGGCCCTGCGGCTCCTCGGGTCCTCCACGCCCAGCCCGAGCCCGCCGCACACCGCCGACCCGGCGCTCGCGTCCGCGTCCTGGGAAGGGCGTCTCGGCTGGGAACGGGTCTCGGGATTTCGGGGTCTCTCCCTGCGGGGCGTCGTCGTCAGCCTGACCGAGTTGCGCGAGGGGCTGCTCCCCTTTGACCTTAGACTTGCGTGCGAGGAACACCTCCTTAATGTGGCTTGAGAATGGAAGAGCGTTGAAAGCCCACATGCTGAAAGAACCACGCTCTTTGCCGCCACTGGTTCTTAAACAACTAGAAATAGCATCAAATGGAGATTTGCGACCGGTTCTAGACCTCAGGCGGACAGAAGGTAAATCTTGATCTTCTTTTTGAAGAAGGCTGAATAGCTCCTCGGTTATCTCAAACGCTCCAGGATGGTTTAGCAGTTAGAAGGGTGAACTATGCTCGTCTCTGGGCAAGCGGCCGGAGGTTTCTTTTTCAGAGAGGATCTTGTGCGGTGGCAGAGCTCCGATTGAAGCACCCCTACCCCCCAGGGTGATACGTACGTGGATGTTGACAAATACCGTTTCTGGGTGCTTTGTAAGTGGCTTAAGGTTATCACTGGTGGCATTATCTTGTCATCAGTGTATGTTTACGTGAACATGTTCTCTTGGCTTGTGTGAAGTTGTCGGACTACCAGTTTCTACTTTTTTGTCCGCCTGTGTGTGCTTTCAGCCCTTTTGTTTCAGGCTCGTCTTGTTTTCTACTAAACTTCCGCGATCCTCTTCTGAATTTTTTCCTCAGCCCTTAGCACCACTCAGTGTACGTGAAGTAATTTTCTTCCATGAATGAAATAAATTCCAGGTCAAACTAATGTGGAAAAAAAGGATGCCTTGTGTATATTTTACAGCAGTTTAGAGGTACCAACCGTGTGTGTCCGAGATAAGTATTATTTAAATTAAGTACTGTGTAGTTCAGATTAAGCTAGGAAACAAGTTTTCCACCGGACAACCTGCTGTCGACATGACAACCAGATGAGTTAGTGTTAACACTAAATACTTCAGACTTCGGGCATCCTCTTTTCCTCTTGAACAGGTGCATTGCTCATTATTTGATTTCATGCTCTGTTAATCTGTGTTTGCATTTTTTGCTTTTTAAAGTATTTCCTGCTTGTTTTCTATTCAGATACTAGCCCCATCATGTATATTTCTTATTGATTCACCCTTTCTTTTCCCACTGCTAGTGATGAGTTCTAGTTATTTTGATAGGTTCACCACGTTGGGCATCAGTTACAGGACTCACTTCTTTTTTTGGGGCGGGGGGGGGGGGGGGGGACGGACCGGGGATCGAGCTGAGTACCTGGCGCTTGCGAGGTAGGTGGCTGCACCACTGAGCTAAATCCCCGGCCCAGGACTCACTTCTTAAAATAAGCCAATTGTTTGGTTAACTGCTTACAGGCTGCTTTGGGCATAATCAATAGGACGGTCTCCCACAGCACGTTTCTGTTATTTTGATTAAATTGAGAGATTTTTCTCTTTGCTTAGAGGACCCCATACTCCCACAGAAGCTCCCAGGTAAATAAGCTGTTTGGGAATTTGTTTTCTGTAAGTCAGTCTATAATGTGTATCCTTTAATTATCTACACGTTCAGCATATTTTATTTTTTACTTCTTTCCTTAAAATAGGTATTTCTTTTAAAAATATTATTTCTTAAAATGAATACTTTTTTCCTGGATGAGTATGGAGAAGATAAGTATGTTTATTTGCACTTCTAAAATTGGTCTTTAGTAATCCAACTAGGAGAGAATGAACTACAGGCAATCCTTAATACAATTTTTCATCTCAAATCTTAAGTTTTCTGATAGTTCAAAACTTTGCCAGTATGAAAACTTGCTCTCCTAAAAGAAAGGTAAAATTGGCTTTGTAACTTTTTTCTTTTGTTTTCCTGTTTATCCTTTAGAATTCAGAACAGGATGATGAAATAAAGAGAAAGGTCAGAATATACTCTTTCCCTCTCCCCACAGTACCTAATTAACTCACAGATAGCTTTTTAAATATTCAGTAATTTAATAGAAGTTGTTTGGACATTGTAAGATTATGGTAGATTTCTTTTTTTCTATGGTTTCTAGATTTTCTCTCATGAATTTGTTGTTATTGTTAAACAGGCACACCAAAGTGAGTATTTTAACAGGGCGTTATTGCAGCACTGGGTGGGGAGGGTTCAATACACAGGAGGGAGCCCTCCTATACTAAAATTCAAGAAGTAGCTGGGGAGTGCTGCTTGAATAGCAGCTGGATGGGCTCAAATTTGGGATCCTCCTGCCTCAGCCTCCCAGAGTACTGGGATTATAGGTGTGTGCCACCATGCCTGGCATTTTGGGGGTGGGGTTTGAACAATCTCACTACTCTGGCCTAGTTCAGGCTGGCCTTGAACTCACTATTGACCCCAGGCTGGCATTGAACTCGAGGTGATTTCTCTTGCCTCAGCCTCCCAAGTGCTGGGATTCCACGTGTGCACTACCATGCCCATTTTTTGTTTTTTTGTTTTTTTGTTTTTGTTTTTGGTACTGGGGATCAAACTTGGGACCTTGAGCTTGCAACTCATTGCAAGGCAGGCAGCGGAACCACTGAGCTAAATCTCTGGCCCATGTCCATTTTTTGTATTTTTACTATGAAAGAGGAAACTGCCTGAAGAATAATAGTTGTCATATCAGTTGACAAGTTTAAGTGCAGTTATTGGCTATTGCTGTAATAAAACCATGGATGTCACACTTAAGTAAAACAAAAACAGCTACCATTTGTTGAGCTGTTACTGAGCCAGATATTCTGCTAAGTACAGAACTTACCTACCTCATCTAGTTAATTGCTCACCTTTGTAAGAAAAGTATTATCTCCATTCTAGCAATGAGAATTTATGAAGCTAAAACTCCCCTAAGAATTGTTTTTTACTTTGTCTCTACTTGCTTATTTTGGAAATTTCATATCATACAATGTGTGACCTTTTTAACAACTGGCTTCTTTAACTTAGTTTAATTTTTTTTTTTTTTTGTTCCGGGGATCAAACTCAGACCTTGCTCTTTCAAGGCAGGCGCCAGAACCACTGAGCTAAATCCCGAGCCCTTAGTTTAATATTTTAAAGGCCAATTTATGTTATATTCTGTATCAGAACTTCATTCCTTTTTGTTGCTGAATAGTACTCCACTGTACTTATGGGTATATCACAGTTTGGTTTTTTATCCTTTAATGTTGGTTTGTTTCTGCTTTTTGGTTGTATCAGTAAGGTTAAGAACATTCCTGTATCAGTGTTTGCCTTGAAATAATATATTTTCTCTTTTTTTTCTTGAGAAAAAAATAGTTTTAATAGTTTTACAAAAATAGGCCTGCTTGTGATGAACATGCTCAAGTCTCAGATACGAGGGGTGGAAAAATTTCTTGTACAACTTCACAAATGCAGGAAGCATCAGCAATACACTTGACACAATCTCAGAGAATGAGACTTCACCCCCATCTTCCCATCTCTACCACCAATAAAGACATTTAAGAGTTCACAAACACCAGAAATAATGACAGCTGGGCAAGTCACACAAAAAATTGTCTAGACCTTCATCATCTAGCTGCGTGATTCTCAAAATTTAATGTCAAAGATTCACAGAGAACTTTAAACAAATATTTGCTTCTAGATGCTGTACTGAGGGTAAGTCTCCAAAATCCAGTTTCAAGAGTGTGAGACAGCCAGGCTTGGTGGTGCATGCCTGAAATCTCAGCACTTGGGAGGCTGAGGCAGGAGGATTGCTGTGAGTTTAAGGCGAGCCTGGGCTACATAGTGAGTTTCAGGCCAGATTGAACTATATAGCAGGAGTGGTCTATAAATATTTCTCCTACACATTTAAATTACATATATTTTCATTTTTGTTGAATAACTAGTAATAAAATTACTAGGTCATGAAGTAACTATGTTTGATCCTTTTTTGGTTTTATTTCAGTTCTAGGGATCAAACCCAGAGCCACCTGTATGCTAGGCAAAAACTCTACCATTGAGCAACATCCCCATCCTCATTTAATCTTTGGAGGAATTGGCAAAAAATGATTCATTGCATTTCACAGTACCCTTTTATAAGCCCACTAGCTGTATATGAGAGTTTGTTTCATCATATCTTCACCAACACTTGGTATAGTTAACTGCAAATTTGAGATGACATAGCAAAATTATAACTAGTTTTATAGTAATGTTACTGAAAAATAACTTTATAGGAATATTTTAGTTATGCTTAATGTTTTATAGTAATGTTTAAACTATAAAAATAGATTTGTGATATCACTCAAAATTTATAATTTGTTTTCTCTTTTTGAAAAATAAATTACATCTTGATTTTTTTACCTTGCCATTTCTTTTTTAATTTAAAATTTTAATCAGATTAACTACATTTAAAAATTAAGTCTGTATTCAGTCCCATCTTCAGTTTTACAGCAGACTAGGAACTTCAGTAAGGGGCCAAACAATCACTGCCTGCTGCTTTTCTTCTTTTCTGAACCGTGTGGAGTGAGGGCAGGTGTGGAAAGACAGTGTGATAAAAGTAAAGAAGAAATTCTCATGTAACCTTGAAATTTCATAATAAATTCTAAGAAGTATTTGAATTCATTGAGCTTAAATATACCCACTAAATAAGTGTTTATGACTTTTTGAGAATATTGTTATGGTAGACATAAATAATTCTTTCCATTTCTTTGTATGCATGTCAGCTGTGTCCTGTGTGTTGGTTTTCTATAATTTGATACTTCATCTGTGTTATCTTATTTGAGCATTTTACCTACTCCTTAAAGTTATTATATTATATGTATCTATACAAACTAAA